TGATGATGATGATGATGATGATAATGGCGATTAAGAGTGATGATGACGGTTTGCGATACATTTGCGTCAGTTGATCAATCACCTCATTAAAAAAATACTTTGAACCTTCATCATTATTAACGATGGTAAATTATTCGATGATATTATCATTATAGTTGCAATTTCAATTCTTGGTATCAAAGAACAACAACAAAGAACTGGATGAAAAACTGCATCCAGTTCCTTACAACTGCTCAACATTACAGGCAGTACATAAGGTTTGTATGAACTCCTTGCTTTTAATCCCTACCTGGAGGTCAAAACGATAAAAATTATTAACACTAAGGAAGATTTCAATCAAAAGAATGGAATTTTGTTGACCCCCAGATTGGGAATACCGATCCCGGTTATTCTTGAGTGTGCACCCAAACAATTGGTAGTTTTCCCAATGGAATACAGAATGTCTAACCAACAAACTCGAATTCATAAGATTTTTTAGTAGTTACCAATTTTTTTCTGAATGTACCTTGAGAATGCATTAACACTAAGAAAGACATTTACAGTTTCCAGCAATCGTTTCCAGTTTCTGTTCCATGCTGTATATCAAAAACACATTTCAGCTTGTCCGACGTAGCAACAGTAACTAGGGAGGTAGAATAATGAATGCGGGATCGGTGTATTAGTGTGAAGGATCTATAATCGCAATTTCTATTTTTACTTGCCTATACTTGCCTCTACTATATTAACCAATCGATCTCTTCCCCTACCTACGTTTTAGCATCATCTATAGCTATCACCTGTAACAAAGTTACACAGTCTTTTTTGTTTTCAAGTTTCTCCCAAACTGGGAACTAATGCATTGAGATTATTGAGCAAAGTAGGGAAAATGTTGGTTGTGTGCCTCACCATATTCAAACTAGCATCATGTTTAGTGCGCAGTGTCCTCCCTCTTGTTTCCCTCAATACTGAATACTAGTGGGGAAAAACCAGGATAAACGTTTTGTTGAAACATTTCGATTGAAAGCTATGTAACTGGAGTATGAAATATATTGTTTTACATTCTACTATTGAATAGCGTTTTTTCTCGTTCGCTCTTTGGTTTCTTTGTTTGGGAACACCAAATAAGAGTTGTTTCTAGCAGCATCCTACCCTGCCTCATGTAAGGGAACCACCTTCCAAAATAAGAGGGGAAAATATTGAGGATGTTTACTATACACAACGGGTTTAAATCCTGTCAGGTGGACCAGGGTTTGTTACGTGTCTTTCTTTAAGATAGTATTATAATTTAAATTTTAGGTCAGATGGAACCCAAATAAACAGGCTCTGACGTGGATAGCTACAGGGGGTGCATCAGGATTGGTTAGAATACATCACATTAGACAAGTAGAACCTCGCCATCTTAAATCTGCTTCGTAGCAGCTCATTCATGGCGGCCATTTAATTTGTCATGCCTATTGTTTTATACGATTCAACATGACCGCCATGTCTTTTGTCAKATCATCCAACATGGCGACCATGTCTTTTGTTATATCATCCAACATGGTGGCCATGTCTTTTGTCATATCATCCAACATGGTGACCATGTCTTTTGTTATATCATCCAACATGGTGGCCATGTCTTTTGTTATATCATCCAACATGGCGACCATTTCTTTTTTTATATCATCCAACATGGCGACCATTTCTTTGTTTCATCATCCAACATGGTGGCCATGTCTTTTGTTATATCCTCCAACATGGTGGCCATGTATTTTGTTACATTATTTCTATATGGTGGTCATGTGTTTTTTAATATCTTTCAACATGGTGGCCGTGTCTTTTGTTATATTCTCCAACATGGTGGCCATGTCTTTTGTTATATCATCCATCATGGTGGTCATGTCTTTTGTTATATCATCCAACATGGCGACCATGTCTTTTGTTATATCATCCAACATGGTGGTCATGTCTTTTATTATATCATCCAACATGGTGGCTATGTCTTTTGTTATATCATTCAACATGGTGGCAATGAAGTATATTTATTTTTTGTTAATTTGGCTTTAAATAATAAATAGAAATGGTCATACATTCTTTACACAAAATTACAATATTGCATTTCTCTTCCACTTCTTTATTTTCCGAAAAACACTGAACTTAAAAAATATATAAAAAAATTACTCTATTCATGACTCGTATGTCATCGAGAATAAATAGAAGGTTTATGCAGCTCATATTATTTTCGAAATCTCTACGAAATAAATATTTTCTAATCTAAGGGGCGTCCATTACGGTCCATCTTTTTAGTAGTGCGTGACACAGTGCGACGTACGTGACAAGTGTCATGATTTGCATAATATCAGCTTCAGCGTGTTTGTATATCGTAATTGGAACTGCACATGCGGTAAAGATGATGTCTGTCATATTCTTCGCTATTTTATCTGCTATCCTTGGATTTCTCTTACTAATTTTCGACTTTGTATTCGTCCATGCACCGAAGAAGAAAGAAGGCATTGAAGTAATCACAGATGCGACGACTGGAAAAAGACGAAAGCGAATATTCGAAGGCGCGTTTGACYACGGAACTCATGATGATATCTATTGCTTTGGGCAAGCCTTAATCTCGCGAGTAGTATTTATTGAATCCCAGGTTCCACTGGACAAGTCTGTTTTGATGGAAGGACTCGTATCTATGGCTAAAATCCACCCTCTTTTACGAATGAAATGTGAATGGGAATGTTCAAAGGGAAAGACGTATCGCTATCTGTCTGAAATGGACAACTTGACCACTAATGAGTTGTTATATTCAGAGATTGATAAAGAACGAGATAATTGGAAGGACGTACTGGAGAATGAGCTTTTGAAAGGGCTTGATCTATCAATGGGGCCCTTGTGGCGAGTCACGAGGATGAAAGAAGTGTTTGATTCCACTTCCAACACTTATAAAAACACGGTCTTGTTCACTTTCCATCATTCTATCTGCGATGGTGTATCGATTTTTAACTTCCWCGATAAACTCCTTGAAGTCATGGATAAATTATTCTATGGAGATCTTCTGGATAAAAACCTAGAGCCACTGCCTCTATTAGAACCGCTTTCAGTACTAATCAAACATCGTACACAACTCCCTTGGACACAGGACCTTAGACTGAAACTTGAGCACTATAAACACAGACTGCTAGCTTTGATCAAGCTGTCTCCCAAAAACCTGTTCCTTGAAAGGTTTCCTCCTCCTATTAGAACTGATACCATGGTCAACTCTAAGACGGTCTTGATACCAAGCTGTTTGACAATAGAAGACACATCAGTATTTGTGAAAAACTGTAAAGTGCACAATTCTACTGTGGGGGGTGCCCTAGGAGCAACTCTTGCACTTGCTGTAAGAAACCTACTGCCTACTGGTACTGGATCTTTAGATCAGATTACTATAGGATTGCCAATAAATATAAGGAGTGGATGCAAGCCAGTGGTCAGTAATCAGGATTTTGGTTTCTATGTTGGAGTTATATTCATCCCGTTGTCAATTCCTGGTGAAATACCAAGTATTGATAATTACTTCTGGGAGTTAGCAAGGAAGATGTCAGCAGAAATAAGAAGAAAGATCTCAAAAGATGAGCAGTATGATCTGCACAAAAAGGCAAAATATGGTGGCTTTTGCACCACTGATTCTTGGGAAAGTGGGAAGAATGATGTAAGTGATGCTGGCAGATATCCTAATTTTGAGCTGAGTAACATAGGGAACTATGACTTGGATAAACAAAGGGTTTACAAAATAACAGAGACATACTCTGGTGTTGCACAAGACATTTGGGGTCCTGTGATGTCGGTTGTTGTCATGACTGTCAGTAGAAAACTATGTTGGAATGTGTCATATTCTACGAGAGCTGTCTGTGAAGAGGTGGCTAAAAATTACTCAGAGCAGATCTTGAAATTAATTAAGGACATTGGGTGCAGTCAAAAGGTATTCAATTGAAACCCTTTCTACACAGGCCATGTATATAACCATTGTGTTAACCATTAGAAGGATGTATCATTGATAATACACCTATTTTGGAAAATGTTGTCAGTCGGAGATCTGAAATCTGAAACCGAAATGAATTGTGGATTGTAAGCTGGTAATTGTGTTGTGGTTTTAATTAGAAGTTCTCAACAAGTTATGTAATAATTTAATGTATAAATATATCTACTTTGAGCAATGACCTGTGCTAACGAGTTGTCTGACTAAGTGTATCTTGATTTTTTTCTGGGGGAAGGGGGGTCCTTTTACAAATTTCCTCTTTGGTGTGTGTATGGATATTTTCTGGAACTACACATTCCAGTTCAATCTGTGAGTTAGCCATGCCCTCAAGCAGATCAATCCAAAATGTTGTTTTAGGGTATCATTTAAGTTTTAAGGCTTTTAAAAGGAATTACTTTATGAAGGGTACTAACACTAAGTCTGCTTTTTTGGTTGACAGCTACTTTTTTGGTTTTGTCAATCAAAAAAATTTGTTAATCATTTAATGATAAAATAATTTCTTTTACTCTGTGATGAAGGACTAAAAGTCATYAAACATCCGAAAAATCAGTATCTATATTACGACAATATTCTATATTTAATACTATTTAGATTAAATGCRTTCATTGACTGAATATATTATCATTAGAAATAATTAATTTTATCAAACTCATTAATAATGCATGAGGAAAACACAACAGAAATCACGACCGTGAAGAGTGTAGTAAATCTGATACAAAACTGTGTTCATTTGCATAAACTTTAAGTTGAATTTTCTTGGCCAAATTCACTTTAATTTYGAAAATTTTAGTGAAACACAAAGGAACTAACATAGATGTTTGATAAGTCATATACAGTATTCGTGTCCGTGTTGTATCAGATATACAATCACTCGGCTACGCCTCGTGGTTGTATATCTGATACAACACGGCCACTCATACTGTATATATTACTTGTACTTTTTATTTCTCCTAATTTTCAATAATATACTCTAAATTTTCATGTTTGAGCCAATCTTTCCCTCCCCCTCCCCCACCAAACAGACTTGTAGTCTTTTTCTGTCTGTCTGTCTGCACCCAATTTGTTTTAGGGTGGTCTGCTGCATGTGATGGATAAATGAGTAAGTTATTAATACTGATGGGTTTGGTTAAAAATACTAAGGGGTGAAGTTATAGCTTAACATGTTTGCAAGTGTGAGGAGGGTCAATATACAGTATTAGGCGATAGACCCTATTTGTGGTGATGCAGCATATTCCCATTTCAGACCATGTCTTATTATCAAGAGTACCATTTCTTTGTTTAACCGTTGTGCATGAGAAGATGCATGAATATAAATACAACTCAAACAAAGAATCTCATTCTCTAGGTAAAATATGTGGTCTGTAATTGGTAAACATTGCACCCAGATAAATTAGGTCTACTAGGGACTTCCTTTTAAGTCACTTAATAATCGGTGGGGGGGGAGTCATTGTAAGGGGAATTTTTTTTGTTTTGTTTTACATCAACATTTCCATACCAACTACAAATCAGATAATTGGGGGGGTTTATGTAAATCCCCCAAAAATAATTGAACAAGCACTTCACCCCTTTACCCACCTCAGAGCGTTTACTAAAGTAACAACCGTATTTCCTCTATTATGACACTAGTCATTAATAAGCCCCCTTCTTTAATAAGCACCCATCTGAGGCGTCAAAAAGTAAAAAGTAAATAAGCCCCCAGCCTCTAATAAGTGCCCACCTCTAATATAAGGTCGGTTGTGGTTCTTTTTCCCTTGTCAGGCCCAGCTTTGAAAGTCATTTTAAGTCTGTCAAGTTTATGAATCAAAAAAATATGATTTATTGATTTATTTCGATTATTATTTATTAAGCTCCCAGCCTGTAATAATTCCCCAGTACAAAAGCACTAAAAAAGAATAAGCCCCTAGGGGACTTAACAGAAGGAATATGCCATATCCACTTTTGCTTCTGTTCATTCATTCCCTGCTTCCTCATCCAAAATTTCTTGGATATTTTCATTCAAATCCATGCGATAAATCGTCAAGATATCTTTCTGTCCACAAAACATCTTATGCCAAAAGAACTGCAAAAAGCTGTTGTACAATGCGGCATTGCATACCATCAGCATCAGGTTTACTATCGCGACGGGATGAGCTGCAGTAGCCTTGTCAACCGTGTAAATCTTGAAGGCCACTTGTGCAGATGTTGTAATGGCTTTGCAAAGGTTGTCCAATGCAAAAATTGACAGTGCAGGGGGTAGGGTGAAGTTTAGTTGAAACACTAAAACGAGGGTGAATACCTTTGAAACAATCACAAGAATTTCGATGTACATATGAGCCTTTTTGTTTTGGTCAATYATAAGCGCATCTTAAACGACTACTAAAGTAAGCACGAATGACAATGACCAAAAATATGGTTTCTTAAGGAGGATCGTTAAGACTTTTGTATTTTTTTCGGGGCGAATTTCTGGAACAAATCGCTTGCATAAAGAAAAGAGTATTAAGAAGGATGATATAATGGAGCAATATAGCCAGACAGTTTTCCAACAATACGGGTCACAGTGAGAGTCATTATAAATGGTGAAGTTATCACAGTCCACGCTTGTCTTTCCATGCCATAATGTACAATCAACGACAAAAATGGCAAAAAGCACCAAAGATACAGCCCTGAACACTTGAAATATGAAGAAGAATGGCATGGCACGAGAGGCAAGTCTTGTTAGGAATATGACCAAAGATGTACGCTGAAAGGATCGAAAAGGGCAATATTATAATCATCATTATCATCATCATTATTCTTACCATTATCATCATCATTAGCATCATCATCTTCATCATTTTTATCATCGTCATCATCATCATCATCTATATAATTATCATCATCATTATAATCATTATTATCATCATCGTCGTCGTCATCGTCACCATCATCATCTTTATAACCATCATCATTGTCGTCAATATCATCATCATCATCGTTATCATCATCGTCGTCATCGTCACCGTCGCCATTATCATTAGAGAAATTTAGCATTGAAACGCATTATCCTGGCCGAAACCGGGGATTTAACGCACATTTAAATTATAACGCGCGTTTAACAGCGTGGATGCACGCTGATACTTCAGCAGTCTAACAATTTCAACAGCAATATCTTCGAAATTGACTATTGTCCATATTAACTATGAGGTTTGTTGTGTGTGGTTCACTCGATAATGGATTGTGCACTGATCAGGTTCCATCTATTTCTTGATACAAGTAAAGAGTTCGCACGATTCTACTGTCATGCTTCGCCTAATTTACCTACCTGTTCTCCATTTTGCTCCATTTTTTAAAACTTTTCTTTGTAGTGTCTTCGTTTGTAGTTGATTTATTTATCTTGGGTTTGAAAGCGGAAGCTACTACACGCGGTGTAATCTTTCACATTTGTCAGACTCGATGATTTTTTCCCCCGGCTGACCAAACAAATTCGGATGGCGATTCAAACTCTATATTGGATTTAATTTCTTTCCTATACAGAAGTAAATTGCATTTTTATGAATAACGGTAAGTTTGAGCCAAATATTTAATATTTTCAAGAATTTTCCCTTGTATATGTATTAAACTCTCAAGTATCCGTGGTCACGCGTCACGCTAGACACTCATTCGTTGGTAGTTATCATTCAGGTTGCACTTATCTCACCAAACTGCTTGAAAAAAAAAAAAAACTGCTTGTACGGACAACTTTTGCAGACTGGAATTTATCAGTAAGTAATAATAACTTAATTGATTTAGGAGTTGTTTTACTATGATCACTTATAGGTATAATGATAATGTTGGACTATTGTTAGCAGTAGACTATRATCAGAAAAAGCGCAGGACTACGAATAAGAATTATCGACGCTTATTCATTCGTTCCAAACATTCGATTTTTTTTAAGCAACAGGCTAATTTCTTTAAGGGATTTTCACTTTCATACTTAGATAATATCATTTTTTTTCGTATTTGAAAGAATTTTCTGAAAGTTTCAGTGCTTTCAAAAATATTTTGCCAATATATTCCGAGATCGAACGAGTCAAGGTTCCAAAACGGACGAGCATATAGGCTCAGTTAAAGTATATTGCGGCCCCAAAACGTCAGAAAAACTACTGACAAAGCATTGTCTCAATTCTTCATTCTCTTTTTATTCATTTTGCCTTTCAAAAACACAGGGRAAAACGCTTTAGGAAACGTATTTAATATCAGCCAGCAAAGCTTTTCACTCTGTAAATACATGACGCTTCGATTCGGCCCTGTTAACACAGGAATTCAACTTAGATTATAGTGCGAAAACAAAGTAAAAATAGGTTCAATGAAGAAAAATCCCGTAGGTTGCAAACCATATATTCCGTGTATATTTCGCTGCGCTCACTCGTGAGAGATCTTTTCAACACTTGAAGATAAAATTCGTATCTCCGCGCGCCCATGTAACATCCTCTMWKTATTTGATAGCTTACGTAGTACTCTTCCAATGTTGGAAAACTGAAAAGTGTACTACCTGAAATTAAAATTCTACATTCAAACATATTTCGTGTATTTGCAACTAAATCTGTAGACTTGTAAACAAAATTACGTCACGACTTGTGCTAAATTTCTTGAATTTCTAGAGAAATACGTTTTTGAAACAAATTTAACCGTGATATTCTTACTAATGCCAATAAGCTACACATTTTTTCGTGTCATTACACTTTAACATTCAGCTGTTCTTTTCTTGCTTCTGACCTTGGATATTTATTACATGCACGAGTCTATGTGTTCATTTTTGGAGCTATTTTTTTAGTAGAACTAATAGAACATTTTACATCTAATTTTAACAACATTTATTATTATTTCCGTTGAGTGTACAACATGAAGATTTTGCTCCTTCTTGGCGTGTTGGTGCTCTTTTCCATGCAGCCTCAAGATGTTGATGCTGGTCTGCTTGCTTACGGTATCTGCCAGACTGGCTGTAACACGGTTTGGGTTGCCTGTTGCGCCGCTGCTGGAGGAACTGCTGGTGTGACCACTGGTGGAGTTGGGGTCCCGGCCGCCATTTTGACATGCAATGCTGCACAAGGAGTTTGTATGGCTGCCTGCGTAGCTGCTGGATGTACTCCAACACCTTGAGACGTTCCAAGACATGACGCACCATCACCCTACCACCTTTAAGTGTATTCAATTTGATTAATCGTTTTGACTACTTTTATATTGCATTTATTGTAATCTTAAGTCGCATGCATTTGATTTAAGTCTTGATAAAACTTGATTAAGTACAGCTCAGTAATTGTTAACCAATGCTT